CCGGTCCGTTGAAAATAATCCCAACTATTGATTATTTTTGTATAATCCCAACTATATAAACTATCCTCCAATAATGGTCCATGACCATATATTACCTCTATAAAAAGTAAATTTTAAATAGAAATTAAGCGTAAAAATTAAAAGTTGAGATTATTTATAGGGATTACTTGTTACATCTCATCTCATCCAGTTTAGAAACTACAAGAATTTATTCATAGGGACCATTATTGGCGGAAGGTCCCTAAAGTTGGGATTATTCTGTAATAATCAATAGTTGAGATTATTATGAGCGGACCGCCAATAGTTGGGATTATTACTATCAATTTTTCCTATATTTTATAAAAAATAAAGTTTTAATGTATTCGTGAATAAAATATAGTTAAAGTAGAACACGTGAATTGCGTAAAAATTTTGATGTTTTAACTATTTACGAACGGAGGCAATATTTACTAGTGCACCAGAATAAGTAAAAAGTGTACTCATTCACATTTTCACCGGAACAACCCTTTTTAATTGAGTCGCACTTTGTATAACTAATGATTAATTTTTACTCGTTTTTCTTTTATCCCTATAAAAAATTATTTTGTAATTATTTTTTTACTGTGTATATATAAGAGCACCCCTTCGAATTTATTTCTGGTTCCACCACTGGTACTAACGGTATAAAAGATACTTACTTCGTCCCTTATAACTTTACCAACTTTCCTTTTTTGGATGTCCCACTAACTTTGTCATTTTCCCTTTTAAGTAAAGAATTTGTGGTTCCAGTTCATTCTCTCTCATCTATACAAACCTCAACTACACAATTTTTACTTTATTATTCCCCATGCCGATCAAACTTGGTAAAGTTATTAGGGACGGAGGGAGTACGTAGTAGCTAGTTTTATGGAAATAAAAAAAAGTTAAAAAAAATAAAAATAAAAATAGAAAAAATGGAAATCTGTTGTGAAATGAAGAAGATGCAGACTAGATTTAAGAGATAGATATATTGATAATAATCTCTAAATTATACTTCTTCTTAATATAAAGATTTCTGAAATTTCTCAGTTTTTGAATTACATTTACAAAGGATTGAGCACCCTATTTATACTAGTTGGCTAGGAGATGAATCATCAAAGAATGATTCTACATAATTTGTTGGCAACATTAAACCTAGCCATCTGTCTATTACAAGGACTAGAATTGGATTAGTGTCCTGATGACAAGGATGAATAATTCACACCTGTAATTCCCATGATTTTACAACACTCCCCCTTGAATGTTCATCCTTGAATAGTTATTTTGTTATTATGAAAAATTAGTGTGAAAGTTAAGGGGTAAAGATTACGACATATAATGTCGTTGTATTTGGATGTACTGTCTCGTTAAAAACCTTATCAGGAAAAACCCAGTGGGATAAAAACCTGATGAAGGGAAAAAGAGTGCAGTGCATTCAAATACTCCCCCTGAAATTAACATAAATTTTGAAGGCGGCGCATGCCGATTTTCTGTACAAGTTCATCGAACTTCTTCGGGGGTAAAGATTTGGTGAAGAGATCAGCTGGATTTTCACTGGATCTGATTTGCTGAATGTTGATCGTCCCTTCTTTCTCAAGGTCGTGAGTAGAGAAAAATTTTGGAGATATATGCTTCGTTCTATCTCCTTTGATGTAGCCTTCTTTAATTTGAGCTATGCACGCAGTGTTGTCTTCGTAGATCACAGTAGGGTAAACAGTAATAGGCTTCATACCGCATTCATTCTGGATGTGTTGAATCATAGATCGCAGCCATACACATTCTCTTCCGGTTTCATATAGTGCAATTAACTCCGAATGATTTGATGATGTAGCTGTCAACGTCTGTTTCATAGATCTCCACGAGATTGCGGTATTACCATAGGTAAATACGTACCCGGTTTGTGATTTTGCCTTTTGAGGATCTGATAAGTATCCGGCGTCTGCATAACCGATTAAAGAAGCTGTTGCATCTTTGTGGTAGAATAGGCCGAGATCAACTGTACCACGGAGATAACGGAATATGTGTTTGATCCCGTTCCAATGACGTCTTGTTGGACATGAGCTGTACCTAGCTAATAAATTTACAGAAAATGCAATATCTGGTCTAGCACTCAGATATGGTACTTCGGGACCGAGTATATCTTCGTCGTCTTCTCGTGGACGGAATGGATCATCGTGTATGTTGAGAGATCGAATGACCATTGGTGAAGTCAAAGGATGAGCTTTGTCCATATAGAATCTCTTCAACACTTTCTCGGTGTAATTGGATTGGTGGATGAAAATTCCATTCCTCAAATGCTCAATTTGAAGTCCGAGACAAAATTTGGTTCTCCCGAGATCTTTCATTTCAAATTCTTTCATAAGATATTTTGCAGTATTTTCAATTTCATCGGGAGTTCCAATAATGTTTAAGTCATCAACATATACTGCAATTATGGCGAATCCCGAATTTGATCGCCGAATGAAAACACATGGACTAATCGGATCATTCTTATATCCTTCTTTGAGAAGGTATTCACTGAGACGATTATACCACATTCGTCCAGATTGTTTTAGTCCATACAATGACTTTTGTAATTTAATAGAAAACATTTCTCGAGGTTTCGAGCTATAAGTTTCAGGCATTTTAAATCCCCCGGGAACTTTCATATAAATGTCTGTATCAAGTGAACCGTATAAATATGCGGTCACTACATCCATTAGGCGCATTTGCAGCCTTTCAAAAATAGACATGCCAATGAGAAACCTTAATGTAGTTGCATCCACTACTGGAGAATAGGTTTCTTCATAATCAATTCCCGGCATTTGAGAAAAACCTTGGGCAACAAGTCGGGCTTTATATCTAACAATTTCATTCTTTTCATTGCGTTTACGCACAAATACCCATTTAAAACCCACAGGTTTTACGCCTTTTGGCGTAGGGACTATCGGTCCAAGAACATCACGTTTTTCAAGTGATTTTAATTCAGCCTGAATAGCTTCATTCCATTTTGGTCAATCGTGTCGTTTCCGACATTCTTCTATTGATGTTGGCTCATTGTCATTGTTTTCATTCATAACATTTGTGGCAACGGCATAGACAAATATCTCATTAATATCAATATCTTTTCGATTCCATTGCATTCCAGTAGAAACGTAATTTATTGAAATTTCATAATTATCAACGTTTCTATCAGTGTCTGGAATATCTTCCTCATTTAAGGAAGTTGAATCATTATTTGAGATGTTTGTTTTGTCAATATCATTTTCTATGCCAGTATTTTCAAATTGTTCATTTTCTTGTTCAGAAGGATGAACATCTTTGGCATCACAGATCAATTCCTGCCTTTTAGTCTTTCTTGGTTTTATGTCTTTTGATCCAAGTGGCCTACCACGCTTTTTGCGTATAGAAGAATCATTTGCGAGAGATTTTTCAGAATTCTCCGCTGGAATTTCAATTCTGGCAGGGGCATTCATAGCAGGAATATGTGACTTTGTCACTTTCTTTGTGTCTGTGAATGCATCAGGCAACTGATTTGCAACATTTTGTAAATGGATTATCTTTTGCACCTCTTGCTCACATATATTTGATCTAGAATCAAGGTGTGATAATCTTGTTGCATTCCATGTTATTTCTTTCGTACTTGGGTCCGATTTATTAGTTTCTCCCCCTAAGGTTGGGAATACTGTCTCATTGAAATGACAGTCAGCGAACCGTGCGGTGAATAAGTCACCAGTCATCGGTTCAAGATATTTGATTATTGAGGGAGATTCAAATCCAACGTAAATTCCCAACCTTCTTTGAGGACCCATTTTTGTACGATGAGGTGGAGCAATCGGAACATAAACAGCACAACCAAATATTTTTATGTGTGCTAAGTTTGGCTCTTGTCCAGTAACTAATTGCATTGGGGAATATTCATGATATGCAGTCGGTCTAAGCCGAATTAAATTTGCTGCATGCAAAATAGCATGTCCCCAAGCTGATGAAGGTAAATGACACTTCATTAATAATGGTCTAGCGATTAATTGTAATCGTTTAATCAAAGATTCAGCAAGACCATTTTGTGTATGGACATGAGCAACAGGGTGCTCCACATCAATCCCAATCGACATACAATAGTCGTTAAATGATTGGGAAGTAAATTCTCCTGCATTATCAAGTCGGATTCTCTTTATAGAATGATCCGGAAAATGAGCTCTTAATCGTATAATTTGACAGAGGAGTTTAGCAAATGCTAAATTTCTAGTCGATAAAAGACTAACATGTGACCAACGTGTTGAAGCATCAATCAACACCATAAGATATCGAAATGGTCCACATGGTGGGGCTATCGGCCCACAAATATCTCCTTGAATCCTTTCTAAAAATGCAGGTGATTCAGTTGCAATTTTGTTCATAGAAAGCCTGATGATCATTTTGCCAAGAGAACAGGCCTTACAAGGAAAATCCCTTGATATTGGAACCCTTATATTCTTTAATGGGTGTCCAAGTGAAGTCTTAATGATTTTATGCATCATTACATGGCCTGGGTGACCTAAACGGTCATGCCACAGCATGAATGTTTTCTGATCATCTAACTTTGCGTTAGAAACCAAATTTATTTCGAATGGACTAATATGAGTGAAATATAGTCCTGAGGAATATGCTGGCATTTTTTCACAAATACATTTAGTGCCAGATTTAGTTGTCGTTAGACAAAGATATTCCTTTTGGGTTTCATTCATGGTTTCTATGTGATAACCATTTTGACGCATATCTTTAAAGCTTAATAAATTTCTCCGCGATTTGCTGGAGTATAAAGCGTCATTTATAAGTAATTTTGTCCCATTAGGGAGCATCACATATGCTTTCCTAGAGCCTTCAATGAGCTTCGCAACACCTGATATTGTATTGACTTTAGCTTCAACTAAAGTCATTTGAGAAAAATATATTTTATTTCTCAAAATGGTGTGCGTTGTGGCGCTGTCTATCAGACATAGCTCTTTATCATTTGAGTGATCCATATCTTCAATATATGTAAATAAACATAAGTTTGATAAATTATGCATGTTATTTAACATAAAAGTACATATATTACACATTTATCTGTGAGAACAACATAAAAGAAAAAGTACATAATACATGAAAACATAAACTACTATTTTACAACATGCAAAAGTCTTATAATTTATTTTGTGTTATTTTGATCAGTGGCAAAAGCATCGTCCATTATGCTATCATCCATGAAGAAGTCGGACACATCGAATTTTGGCAGAGATGGAGTTGTATCATTGACATAATTCGCTTCCACATTTTTGCCTTTGTTTAAATTCATGGAAGCTTGAAATAACTCCACAAGATGCTTTGCAGTACGGCATTTGTTAGCCCAGTGTCCCGTCATGCCACATTTGTAACAAATCGTCTTCACCGAGGTTTTTGTAGGGCGATTTGTTTGATGGGCTTTTTGTTTGCCCTTGCCCTTGTAATATGGTCTTTCGACCCGTTTATATCCTCGGTGAGACTTGTTATTATGACCACTAAAATTCCCACGTTTAAAATGCCTTCGTGTGCCACTGTGTGTTGCGTTTGATTCAGTGGCAATGTTATGTCCAGATGGACCATAAATCGAAGGACTAGAACCAGTGGGTCTCAGATTATGATTTTTCATCAAAAGGTCATTATTTTGCTCAGCGACCAATAAAACTGATATAAGGTCAGAGTATTTCTTAAAACCCTTTTCTCTGTATTGCTGCTGTAGCAGCATATTAGAAATATGCATTGTAGAAAAGGTTTTCTCCAACATATCAGCATCAGTGACTTTTTGCCCACATAACTTTAGTTTGGATGTTATTTGGAACATAGCAGAATTATAGTCACTGATAGATTTAAAGTCCTGGAATCTTAGATTGATCCAGTCATATTGAGCTTTAGGCAAAAGGACCTTTTTCTGGTGGCCATACCTCTCCTGTAAATTGTCCCATAATTCTTTTGGGTCATCAACCAAAAGATATTCAGATTTGAGACTTTCATGGAGATGGTGACGGAGGAAAATAATAGCTTTCGCTTTGTCTTGGGCAGATGACGGCTTATTTGCCTCAATAGTGTCTTCAAGACCATTAGCCTTCAAATGTGCTAAAGCATCAACTTTCCATTCCAGGTATTTTTGTCCAGACAGATCAAGAACATCAAATTCTCTTTTGCTTATGTTTGCCATGATACTACAAAAATTATTAATTTCAGTCTATTTAGTAAAGTGTATATTCACATAAACAAATACTTACCACTATACTCTGTATTAAACAAGTAATTTGAAATATGTTGAAATAAATCTTATAAACAGTATACTAATTATAAAGTTTATCAACCGTTGATGTATGAAGATTTTCTTTTCTATTACAACTCACGAAGTAATTTATTTATTGTAGTAACTAACTTTGTGCATTATTATAATTATATAGAGGAGACATGTGGCAGTCACAGCTTGTGTCTAAGCCTAATCCTATACAGGTGTCAAAATAATGTTATTGCCACCTGCCCACTTTGATATTAATAAGAGATATATATGCAGGAGTGTATAATAATTAAATTAAATAGATTATATTTATAAAGATAAAACTGATGATTATTAATAAAAATAGTCACTGCCTAACCATAAACATTTATTGGAAATGGGTTACTGACAGTTACTTTGGTTTTTAGATAGAAAGTTGAGGAGCCTCTGGTCATTTATGTAGAACCTCCTCAGCTCCTTCCGTTCTTTGTGTTTAACGACAAACTTGTTAATCAAATGTGTATGGCACTATGCATGTGATTATTTGCTCAGAACCGTTTTACTTTCTTTGTGTATAATGACAAAAATAATAAAGAACTATACATGCATGTCAGTAATAAAATACAAAACCCGTGACTAACTTAGTGGATGTGAGAAAGACTTTTTCGCATTTAAATATGAGCATCAGATAATATGGCTTATTGCTTTCGTTGTAGTACGTAAAGTAGTACTCGGTATTAGTTATTGGTTTAGACATTAGATATCCACTTAGTGTTTTCTACATATGATATCCACCATATATGATATCCACCATATATCTTCCTTCATACTACGTATTTAATTTCTAAATCCGTGTTCTTCTTTACTTCTTTATTTTATGAAATACTTCTCATACCTTTAAATGAAGAGTTTATCAAGATTGAAGAGAAGAACATATTGAAGGTACGTATGTTAACATCTTTTTTTTATAGTGGGTAAACAAATATAATTTTAATTTCGGCTAGTCATATACTCCTCGTAATTTTTGAAGATAAAATTAACAGTAATAATATATGATGATGTTCGTACCTGCAGGATGATTTCTTGGAGATTTTTGAGCAGATTCGTGCTGATAACGTGTTGTGAAATGAAGAAGATGCAGACTAGATTTAAGAGATAGATATATTGATAATAATCTCTAAATTATACTTCTTCTTAATATAAAGATTTCTGAAATTTCTCAGTTTTTGAATTACATTTACAAAGGATTGAGCACCCTATTTATACTAGTTGGCTAGGAGATGAATCATCAAAGAATGATTCTACATAATTTGTTGGCAACATTAAACCTAGCCATCTGTCTATTACAAGGACTAGAATTGGATTAGTGTCCTGATGACAAGGATGAATAATTCACACCTGTAATTCCCATGATTTTACAACAAAATCGCCTTTTTCTAGAAGATCCCCTCCCATTATGGCAAACACGTACACAGATGACAGCTACAGCCAACCGTCGTTGGAAAGCAACTTTATTTCATCGAACATTTTTTCACCATTCCTCATTTTTTGGTTTGTCACGCTTATCAGCTAACTTTTTCATTAAATACGTAACTTTTGCTTTCACGCGTTGAATTATGTAATAAGCAGAAGAAGTAAGGTTATATTTACTTTTTTGACTATATTGGCTGAAGTTATTGAAGATAACCATTTTAGCTAATTTTACGTACAATGTTTTCTTTGTTTTATTAATAAAATATATAACCAATCATTCGAGCACAGCTAGTTGTGAGGTTACCGTGCCTAGTGGGAGGTCTCGAGTTCGAAACTCTCATTCAGCCCTGATTACTCCAGACTCCCTCCCCCAGACCCCCCTTGGAGTAAAAAAGAAAAAAGAAAAAAAGCTTTGAAAAAAAATTAATAAAATATACGGAGTATTTTAAAAAGAAGTTTTTCTTAAATCCGCAGAATCAGCCAATGCAGCCACTTCAGCCAGAACTTCATAAATTTCAGCAGAATCAGCCAAATCAGCCGATTTTCGTGCTACCAAACTAGCTCTTTTTTGTCTATCATCAATTATTAAAAGAAAATGTACGAATTGAACACGGTAGACTATGACAGTAGGTAACACACGCTTGATATTCAACCAATTTCATATCGATCTTGATATCTAGCTAGGAAAACATTTATCATATTTTAAATCATACATGTATAAAATAATAATCACAATTACCATTAAGGATTGAGGATAGTCATTAATTGTTATCATCTCTACGCAGGGCCGGTCCTATCCAGTTTTGGGCCTATGGCGAATTACTATTTTGGCCTTATTTCCAAGACAAACAGTAAATTATACTCAAAGTAAAAATTACGGAGTATAATAAAATTAGGAGAAATTACTCTAAATATGACTAAAAACGTTTGTATATTCCAAACTAAGAATATCATGTTTTTATTTTCTAAATAGAAGTAATTATTGTCATATTTTGACAGTATCATATTTTCCGAACATGACAGTAATTACTCATATTTCAGGAATTATCCCTACAACTATCTAATAAATGTTACAAAATAAAGTTGAAATTCACCCTCATATTATTTGAATTTCATATTTGGACAAAAGTAACAACACAAGTATCAGAAAAGAACATTGTGAAGTAAAATTATCAATAATTGCTTTATAATCAATCTTTTCCAAGATCACATGTTCAATGTTTAAAATTGCTAATCCATTAAGTTTTTTTAATCATAATAGATAATTGGGATGATGTTTGAGAATTGAGAGACAGTGGCAACCCAAAGACAATAATACAAATTGGTAATTTTGTAATTAAAAGAATAAAAAATCTTAAAGGCTAAAAAGATGTGAAGAGACATGATTTTATTGATTCAACAACAAATGTGTTGACTTACGACCAACTATATTTAAAAATCAAAACTAAATTTATATTCTTTTTTATACTTGTCTAGCTCTGTTCAACACTTTTACCTATGCTTTAAAAGTCTCAAATTATCAACAAAAATTACACATTAGACCTTATTAATTAATTGAAATTATAAATAAAAAAAAAGAAGCCTACTCAAATTACATATAAAGAAAAAAATTTGGGTCTAATTCTCTTTCTACTTTTTTTGGGCCTAGGGCGGTCGCCCCTGCTGCCCTCCCCCTAGGACCGGCCATGTCTCTACGTATCAAAAAATTCAAGGACATGAATGTTTATGAGTAACTTTAAACTAATTAGTATATCTTGAATAGTTACTAGGATCGGTATTGTATTTCTTACAAATGGTTATAATTATGTACAAATTTTTATTGCAAGAGTATATTATCATCCATTATCAAACACGTGGGGTGAATTCACCTCTTGAATTCAACCTTCGATTAAAATTATTATCCCACTATATTTTGTAGTGCGGCTGATTTCCATGGATGCTCCATATTGGACTACCAAACTACTTGACATTACTAAATCATTTTCAAATCTTGCGTTTTGTCTTGTTGTGTTAACTTTATCACGGCACTACAAGTGTTTTTGCATGAAAGTCGCCCTATATTATAAATATTATTATTCATTTGTCTTTAAGAGCCGGTTTGGTAACATGAAAATCGGTTGATTTGGCTGATTCTGCTGAAATTTATGAAGTTCTGACTGAAGTGGCTGTTTTGGATGATTCTGTTGATTTAAGAAAAAAGTAGTTTTAAAATATATTTTATTAATAAAAAAAAATTATATGTAAAAATAGTTAAAATGGTCATCTACAGTAACTTCAGCCAAAACAGCCCGAAAAGTAACTTCAACCTTACTTTTTCTGCTTATTACACAATTCAGTGTGCGAAAGTAAAATTTACGTGTTTGGTGAAAAAGTTGTCTGATAAACCCGATAAGCCAAAAAACAGTGGTTCCAAACGGCCTCTAATTTGAACATGCATAAAGATATACCGTATTACTTAGGGCACGTGTAGCTTATATCAAGAAGAAAGGAGAATAGTTTATTCTCCAAATCCCTCCTCCTTTCCTATTCGGTGTATACTTTTGAAATCTAAGCCTAAACTATGATCAAAAGCTTAGAGCCCGTTTAGTAACACTGAAATCGGCTGAATCTCGGCTAATTTTGCCAATATTAATAAAGTTCTGACTGAAGTGGTTGTATTGGTTGATTCTGCTGGTTTATGAAAAATTATATTTAAAATATATTATATTAATAAAACAAAGAAAAATTATATGAAAAAATAGTTAAAATGGTCATCTACAGTAACTTCAGCCGATACAACCATAAAAGTAACTCTAACCTTACTTCTTCGGGAGATTTGCAATTTTAGTCCTGTAACTTCCAGTTGTTATCGTTATTGGTCATGTAACTTTAATCACTTGCAAATTTGGTCCTGTAACTAATAAATCTTTTCAATTTAAGGACTTTTCCATCCGAAAGTATACTTTCTGGCAAAAAAATCTGCCTTTGGCGATACCTTTTCCGGTATATATATACTATCGCCGGAAAGTGTACTTTTCAGGGAAAAAGTCCTTAAATCGCAAATATTCATTAATTACAGGACCAAATCTGCAAGTGACTAAAGTTACGGGACTAATAAGGAAAATGGCCGAAAGTTACGGGCCGCTATCAAGGTGTGACATTCAAATCGCAAAAAAAAAAAAAACGCTATGTAACCGCTATAGTCCGCTACGCACCGCTACAGGTCGCTATAGGCCGCTACCGGCACCTCCGACAGTTCATGACGAACTAGTTGATGTGTAAATGTGTAAATGTTGTGTACGTGCATGGTGTGAAATTCATTATGGTGGTGCATTGAGTGAAACTATAAATTAAATGTACATGTATCCCCATACATTATGGGACCAAATATTAATAAATATGTAAATTTTAATTATTAAGACTGAATTAATTATTAATAAGGATGATTTAACTTTAAGATCGGTTGATGAAAAAATATTGACTTAACAAAACAATTTTGGACGGAAGTGGTATTATTATGGATTATTCAAGTTGCAATGGATGGTCCACTTCTTAAAATTTGATTATGAAAGGACAACAATTTTAATCTATTTAACTTAAATTTAACGTTATTGCCTTTGAATATAACGTTATTGCCTTCTTTGAATATACTTTGAATATGACGTGATTGCCTTCTTTGAATTATACTTTGAAACTTTGATTATGTCACACGTAACATACTTTAAATATAACGTTATTGTCTTCTTTAATTAGTTTGAAGACATTTTTTATTGTGTGTAATAATTATTTAGTTTATTTGAACATAATTATTTTTTTATAACACACATTAATTATATGTTGTGCGCACTTGAAAATATTTCACGACGCTGCGACCGCTATACGCATCGCAGTGGCCGCAACGATCACTACCGAGATGACCGCGTGCTACCGCTTTCACTACGGCTATTTAAAACTCTGGATAGATATACAGAAATTAAAAATATAATTGAACCATATTAATATACTACTATCAATTATTGTAGCTAATATAGTAAGACCTTGGGCATAAATATCATGACGTATTGCCAACTACAAATCATTTCGATGAGGCCTTCTCATATATAGTGCTTATAGGAGTAGCCCAAAACCCTACATAGTGCTTAATTGTTTTATAGCTTTCCGGCGTGGCACAAACGTTTTAACAAATCATTCACAAGATTTCACATTAACAGCAAAGGCGATCTTGAAGTCTTCACACTTGCTGTTGATAGGGTAAAAGCAAAGCTCTAGCTTTTTTGCAAATTCCTGAGGCTCCGTTTGTTTCCGGGAAATAATTCCTTTTGAAAAAATCCTGGTTAAACAGGTTATTCTACAATAATAAAGTCGCAAAAATAATTTCATGGCTTCAAAGCGTGGATTCATCATACAAAAAAATGTAGACATATGTTTGGGACGGAAAACACTAGGCAAAGAAAACATGAAGCACAACAGAGAATATCATGGATGGAAATGAAATATGGGAAAGATAAAAGTATTCACTCAAAGTCGATAATTTTGCTTTAGATATTTGTTCGAACTCATTTTCTCAAAGGAAAAATTTTTGTTGCATTTTCCTTGCCATTTTTTAAGATGAATCCGAACATAACACAATAGCTTTCTTTTAAAAAAAATTACCCTGCCATTTCCGGGGATGCAAACATACCCTGCAGAATCAATGAAATTACTTTCCAGAGCCAAATACCAAATCAGAAAACCTTTTCCTGATAATATTTTCATAGTAGTATAATCTAAAAGAGCCTGCTTAAATACAGATACTATATTACTATCTACCCTTTCATGAGTGACCAAGTTAAAATGCCTTTAGACTAGTTGGAGTGGTAAGGTATTATTAGGAGTCCAAAATGTTAAAAATGACATTTTTGGACTCCTAAAGTGGGATAAAGATAGTAAAAGTGGGTATAGGGAGGGATGGGGTTAAATTTGGAGGGTTTTTTACAGCC